GGGGCATACACTAACCATACATCAGGCTTTGCTTGAAGTGCTTCTTAATGAGCCAGTTTCAATCTTGCATTAGAGCGTCACTGTGAACATTGGACCATCATTTACTTCCACTGTTTCAAAATTACAGAACAGAAGTAATTCCAAGCGACAGAAAAAAAATCATATCTGGACACGCCTGATCACCACCACATCTGCTTGTTTCAGTACCGCACACCCACTATCTAGGCCAAACCCATGGGCTGCTCCCCGGCAGCCAGAACTTATTATGTCACAGAGGCCCGGAGTGACCCGAGGAGCGCCTGCCTCACCCTGCATCGGCATTCTCGGCCGGGGCTAATGGGGGGGGGCTGACGGGGGCTTTATTCTGATCATTCGTCTCATGCTGTTGCCGGTCTCAGAGCATTCAGCTGATTAGGGAGGCAGTGAAGAAACCAGACAGGCCATGGCAGGTAAACAGACGACTATGTAAACGGGAAACATTCATAGTCGGTCCAAATTGTTTCCCTGACATCATTGGTCTTTGTATTGCATCCTTGAAGCAATGCAGAACTCTTACTCATCGGTGAGCAACAACTCCGAAACCCATCATGTGAAATTCTGACTTCCTTTAAAGGGCGGGGAGGACACAGGAAGGGACACCGGGGGTGTTTATACAAGGCTAAGCTATGAAGCCATGCTTCACTTCGTGGCCGCAGGGCTGAACGTCAATCCAACGCTCCGGGGTCCAACGGGAGGCATCCGCTCCAAGATCTGACTCGACCCCGACCCCCCCCCTTCCACGATTCAACAGATTATTTATGAAAACTACAAGACACAACAAGTTGTTTAGGTGCATTAAGGGTCGGCCAAGAACAGCAATGACGTGGGGGCGAGCCCTGTATGAGGGAGGGGTGGTTTAAACCAAACCATGGATTTGTCTGCAGTTTTAATCGACGTGGGACAGGGAGCTGGGAGAGTGGCCGTCCACACTTCCTGTATTCCTTCCTTTCCCAAGCGCGTTTTAATAGGCAGAGCTGATACATGCACTCAGCCTGGGGACACTGAAGCCATTCGTAACTGAAAGCCACTGCAATGCTGAGGAATTGGGGCCTGGTCCTGGAGCTCTTTAGCCACTGTGCCTAAAAAAACAGGTCACGCTGTGCCAAATCACACTATGTTCCTCCCTCACAGTCCCGGCTAAACGCTCATCCTTTCCCACACTTGGCATCGGGGTCGAATTCACATCCAAGGCCTTCAATGAGGAGTTAAACTGCAAGGAGACGCAGGTTCACTCAAAGCACACAGTGCGGACCCACCTACTTAAGGCCTTTCCTCTCTCAAGCTGGTCTCATGGCAGCAACCCTGACTGACACTGGCCCTATGGAGGAGAAGGGGGATCAGACCAAACCACCTCAGGGGGGGGGAATCCACAGCTAATAAGTTACTACACAGAGCTCTTGGGAAAGAGAGAAGGATTCATTGCTTTGGTTTTTAGAAAGTGTCTCCAGTCAAACACCAACAAGTTTTATTTAAGGACTTAAAAATGCTAATTTTGACACATTTAACAGTGTATCTAAAATGAACAAAAATAAGTCAGGATGCATCTTGGTCAGAGGCCAATAAAAGAGGATATTTAGTACAACCTGTTGGCAAAAATATCTTTTCAAATAGGTCTTTGATGCTTGGAAATATTTATTATCTTTTATCTGTTCACAATACTTTCAGAAATGTCTGTCTTGCTCGATGAAAGGAAATAACTCCATTATTTCGATTAACTAATGTTTTCTCTGCCCTTTGTAGGCTAATAAACATTTCCTGCCGGCGATGATAAAGAGTGCACGTCCAAACCTGACAGCTCCTCCCCACCTTCTGAAAATAAGATCAGAGCCAAGGGATCGCGCTGGAATTCAACAGGTTTGGCAGCTTTTCTGAGAAAGACCCAAATCAGATCAGGGTGAAGCCGCAGCCTTCGTTCCGGTACAGGAGTCCGAGCATGCCGACTCGAAGGACGCGGTCAGGGAGGGGGGAAGCTCCCACAGTTTTCATAAACAACCACATACTATCGATCCACCCATCTTCTGTAACCGCTCATCCAGGACAGAGCTACAGGAAGCTTGTTATCCCAGAAAACAGAGGACATGAGAAGGGGACACCCGGTACGAAAATGCCAGATAACCACAAATGAACGCCTTTCAAAACTACTTTACAGATGCGCAATCCCACTTATGAGTGCCGGCAAGCGGCTTTCGCGTTTATTCTTCCTGCTGGTGTAGTAGGCCATTGACTGCCCGGTGTCAGTTTGCATTCAGATTGATGACTGTTGTGACACCCAATAACACAGATATGCGGGATCTGCAGCAGAGAAAGCACGGATGCCGGAATAACGTGACAGAGGTGTGTGCATTCCGGAACATAACACCGGCCTTTCACAGGAGCCACTGCGAAGGCAGTCGAGGCTGGGGTTCCAGTTTCACACTGGTCAAGGGCCCTGCACGAGTTTCATAAGGAACCAGCTTCCTAAATAGTTTGCCGGCATGAGATAGGCGCACATATTTAAGCCTACAAATATAATTTCTAACTTCGTCGAAATACGTCACATTGCCAAGACTGTTTCCAAGCTTACCCAGAGCGAACTCTGTTTAACTAGAATCTACCCGCTGACAAACTGGGGGACTCATATTAACCATCAGCGCGAAGGAAAAGAGGAAACAGCCCACAAAAGCATGAAATCTGCAGTGTGGCGTGTGCAGGCCAGACACTGGCAGGGAGAACAGTGTACAGTTATCTTCATACAAAGGGCACTGCATTTCAGTTCCTGCTGTTAAGTCAATGGAGGAGGAAAGTCACTGCAGAAGTTACTGCATCAGATACTGGGACAGAAGAACTTGACCGGGAAAACACAAGAAAATCAGCTCATTAAAAGTTACAGAAAATTATTATCTGGAAGGCTCATGAGCTAATAACCTGTAGGAAAAAAATCTACATAATGCAGAAGACTACTAATTTCCCTCGTGATATATTACCGGATAGCAAATAGTTTTTACAGTAGATATCCTTCCTGATTTCAATCAATACCCCCCCTCTCTGACAGCACCTCCAGCTAAATAACTGGAGAGGGATTTCAGTCACAAGGGGAAGAACTTTACACCAGGACAAAGAGGATCTTTTAGAAAGTTAGGTTGTGACTGAACAAAAACACTGTATGAGCAACCAATGGTTATCTGAGGGGGGGAGAGATATGATGAGTAAACCATGACACAGAGCTTCTAACATAATGGCCATGTACGGCGGTCCCTCAGGGTTCGAGCCGAGCTGGGCCGCCCAGTAACAGCACGGCGGTGGCTTCCTGTTGGCTTCCCGCAGAGCTTCCTGTGGGCTTCCTGCAGAGCTTCCTGTGGGGCTTACGGTCACCCCGGCGCACTCCAGCATGCGCCCACAGGATCCTAGTTTAGCAGGCAGGATCACATACTCCCAGAGACCAGTATAAAGTCCCAAAGTTCTGGGAAGTACTGGGACACTTCATTCCAGGAGCACAATCGAAACCATTTTTTCCCTCCCAAATAACACATCCTTTCCCGTTTCCCAGGGCCTTCACAATACATTTTCAAGGCCTGCAGCATGACACCCCCACAAGTGACACTGCTCAAGCAGATCAAAGGCCAACTGCTATTACAGGGTGCGATTCTGGGATTTAAGAATGATCAAATTTACGTAACAGATTATGCAACATAATGTCACATTACTGGAAGTTATTAAATAAGGTCACATGCTTTTTAAAATATTTATACGCAACATACAATGTCTGTGTATCACCGTAAACATATCACATGTATCTTTTATAGACAAGTAATTTATATAAAGCAGTGTTTCCCAACCCAGTCCTCGGGGAACCCCGGACAGTTCACTTTTTTGCTCCCTCCCAGCTCCCAGCCAATCAGGAACACCGAATACCTGCTACAGGCGCACTGGGAGCTGAGAGGAAGCAAAAACATGGACTGTCCGGGATTCCCCGAGGACTGAGTTGGGAAACACTGATATAAAGTAAGTAAAGCATAAGTAAGGTATCTGATTTCTAAAGGAGGAGGACAATAGATTTAGTCAGCTGATGGCACTTCCCAAAACACAGATAGCTGGCATAGAGCAGCGTTTCCCAACCCAGTCCGCAGGGACCCGCAGACAGTCCTTGTTTTTGCAGAGTTTTTGCCAGAGTGTCCACATTTTTGCTCCCTCGCAGCTCATGGCAGGGAGCAAAAACACGGACGGTCTGCGGGTCCCCAAGGACTGGGTTGGGAAACACGGGCATAGAGGAAACAGCACCACACAGGAAGGAATCACCAAACTGGGGCACAATCACATTCTGTGAGCATGTCAGGGTCCACACAGGGTCCACACAGTCCAAGCCCAGTCAGGGCAGCTGGCAGAGGTTTCAGCCAAAAAAACCAACTCTCTTAAGTTCACAACACACGTCATCCGTGTCAAATATACATGCCCCCATTCTACTAAACCACTGACCCACTTTCATCAAGAGCTACTTTTACAGACAGAGTCAATACCAGGGGATAACAGCAGGTTCTACTGCATGCCGTACCTCCCTGGGGGCACAGTAAACATCACAGCTCACTGTCCTGAAGAGACGCCATATTTCCCCAAAGATGCCAGCTCACCATTACAAGATTGTGAGCCTTGCTTGTATAAACTTACTCTATTTGAAGGAGAATTCATAAAATCTACATATTTTTCCAGTTTAAAAAAATGAATTGAGGCATTTCCCAGTTTACCAAATACAGTATTGTAACAGGGAAATTCTACAGTAATTAAAAATACACTACTGTGTATTTACTGTACAATCAGCCCTGAGCCTATAGTAAATACTAACATGTGCTTTTCACTGGCTGCCATATTAATGAACTCTGCATTAGGCAACTTCTGCTCAATAATGTTCAAACACACTTATAAACAATTACTTAACATGACTTTAAAAGGTCAAAGTCATTAATATAAAATTAAAACTATACCAGACAATTCTCAAACTTATTTACTGAAGTGGCACCTTGAAAAAGCAACCGGAGGTTTTATGTACATAAGGTCACGGCAGGAGAGTAGTTCAACTCCGCTACTATTAACACATGATGAATATTTAATATCTTTAAATTTAAATTGGTCCGAACTATTTGGGAGATTGGAGAATAATTTTCACTGCTGCTTCCTCTTTCTACTTTCAAGGGGGAAAACACAAACAAACACAAACATACACAAGCTTGTCAGCCATTCACTTTGTTTTAACGACAGGACCTAAGTCCACTGTAACAATATATATTCTGCTTGCTTTAACTGGCGTTTATTTTTTTTCAGCTTTGCAGTAAAACAGTTACATACAAAAACTGCAAATCGTTTAATAACCACGTTGTACGACTGACATTATTAAAGCCAACATCATATCTAACAAAATATCTCCAAAAATATAACTCCAGATGTCTCTGGAGTTACTACCAAACCTCGCACAATTTTTTTTTTCACGTTTCACTTACACATGTTGCCGGCGATTACGACTGTTGTTCCGTCTTCTGTTCATATCAAAGAGATCAAATCCAAACAACTACATCCTCCTTCCTTACGGTTTCTGTAGATTTAGAGATTTTTTTCTATATTCAGTACTTTAAAGCAAACCCCAGAAATGTCGCACACTACTGCGCTACTAGCCTATATTGCCACCTGCTTCGAAGTGAGTAAACCCAAGAGTAGCGCTAAATCTTCCATTAGAAAACATACAGCAACAATCGGATTGTTAATAACTGACTTTAAATGAGTTATTTCGCGTGTAAAAAAAATATTAAAGCAATTGTGTTGTGCTGATCCAGGAGATCGGACTTCCTCCAAGCGGAGATAAACATCGTACCTGTAGTTCAGGTAGGTTTCCGCCACATGCGCACTGGCTGATCGGCAAAATGGCGATGCCAAAGTTTGCACTGATCCTACCACACGTCACTCACCGAATCGGGGGCAAATAAGTCCGATTTTCCTCGCTGTTTCGGTCACTGGTTCCCGCCGAACTTCTTGACTGACAGGCTTGTTTGCTTCAAAACTGTCAGCCAGGGGAAGATTGGAGCTCCCGGCGTGGTATACGAGGGATCTTCGCAGACTTTCCTTTTTTAAGCGGAGAAGTTACGTATCGCGCAACAGATCAAAGGCGGACATCGCCACAGTGAGCCACTGTTAAAAAGTAGCTGTAACACTGTATCGGGCAGTTGCTGGTGTTGTTTGCCAGTGTTTCCCCCGCTGAGCGAGCTGACGACTTCCCTTCAGCTGCCCATCCGCACCGCGGTCGCTGCTGCGCGGCGGTAGAGAGTCGCGATCTGCTCCGGACACCTGAAATACCGGATCAGTGATGTTTTCGGATCTGAGAGGTCAAACCCCGCCTCTAGTGTACAGTATTTACTGCGGCCTCCTCGCCCGCATAAACATGACCGTGTGACAGAGGGGGGGGGAAGGGAGGGAGGGCTCACCACCCTCTCTTATTCTTTCGCAGATCACTCTTTTCAGGAACACTCCGGCATGCGGACAGGTAGCGCCCGTTCCGGCTCCGCTGGGTTTCAGGTGCGAGGGGAACAATAAGAAACCGAAACCTGTCGCTGTTTCGCAAACCCCCGCGCCGTATTTAGCGCTGCCGACGGCTACTTGTGCAATGAAAAGTACTGCTACCGGTGTTAATGTGGATCTTATGGATTAACCAGAGATTATTGGTTTGATGGAAAGATCGACAAAACTGTTAAAATCGATTTAAACAGATAATTTCGCCTGTTATACATAGTATTTACCCGCCCCCTTAACCTTCTATAAATAATCTTTACCGTACAAAAAAACCCGCTTTATCCGAACTATAAACAAAGTACCGTTCATCCCTGTCAATAATTATCTAACATCACCTTTAACTGCAGTGCTAAAAGCAAAGGCATGGCTGCAACACGTATGTTGCAATTCGTAATTTCCTGGCATTACAATTGTGGCATAGAGTTTTTAACAAGAAAAAAAAATGTATTTCAACGATAAAAGACTAAACGATTCGTGACACAGCAACAGGTGATCCGGGTGATGCTTTTGGACTGGGGGCGTTGCTAAGGGCAGGCCTATATAGGTTAAAAGTCAGATATTTGACATACCGCGTCGGTAAGACATCCTGCCGCATAGGCTACCTCGATAAGCAATTAGAAGATGGATGGAGGGATTTTCTCCTAACAACCTTCCTCTGCTTCCTTAAATACAAATGCATGTAATTCTAATAATTAAAAAAAAAATATGTCAAAATATGTTTCCCTCATTCTTGGATGTGACTTAAATGGTGCCGCAGAAGCGACCTTAAATCTAATAAGCACTTACTTCTTTTACCCCAGGCTTAAATGATCATTCTGCCCCTACTGGCTCCTTTCCAAATTGTAATTATGAAGATTACAGCTTTACTACTATGATATTTTCTTAGGTAATCTACAGATTATGAATTGTTTTAAGTCATTTTCCCCTTAGGAGCACATCAGCTGTGTTCCTCTCCCCATCCTCCTGCTACTCCTCTGTGCCTTTATTTTATTCCAACATCAACACTTAATTTTGTTAGTCGACTATTGAAAGATTACTTGGCTCAAGTATATTTCTGCATTCTTAACCCTCAGTGGGGCAAGGAGATCGTACACTGTCATCCGAGATAAATGTCAGCTTCGAAATCTGTCGAACAAAGGGAACGGCTGAGAATTCAAAGAGAGCCCACCGTCCAGTGAAAGAGCCCAGGGTTTTCCGCAGGAAGTATTTAAAAGAGGCAGAGAGAGAGAAAGAAAAAAACAATGGCTTTTTGCTTCAGTGCCAATAGGGTTTGCTTCCACTTAGGGTCTGAAGCTACTTGATTAGCATGTAGCTAATATTATACAATGTAAAGGATAAGAGCCCGAAAGGCGGCAGTGTGATACTGGGGAATTCGCACTGCATGTGTCCAGCCCAGATTCAAGAATGCTTTGCCTACAGCAGGGCTCACCAACATGGTGCCCCCAGGATGCCCCCCAAATACCACGAGTCGCCCGCGGACCTGTTCTAGAAATAGGACAACTCACCAGTGAGCAGCGTCTAAAATTAAATTTTATCCTGTTGCAATTCTTCTTTAATCACATTTGCGTTTATATAGATTTGAAAATGACAATATCTTAAAAAAGCATTTAAAACATGTTTATTATACATGAAGTTTAGATAAGTTTAGGAGGCCGTTTCAAACTGGCAGCCCTTCATATGGCTCAGTACCTGTGAAGTAGCTCTCAGTTTCAAAAAGGTTGGTGACCTCTGGCCTACAGGGTATTTTCCTCATTCTAATGCAGTTTTACCGTATTATATGATACTTTGTGGAATGCATTATGCTGTTTACTCTTGCTTTCAATCGACCACCACCCCGCATGGAGTAGAAGCCTAAAGATTTCATTAAAAAATTAAACATACATACACACATCTGTCATTTCGAGTTTATAGGATAATTTTATAGTTTCAAAGAATGCCACATTGAAGCAAATAGATCCATATAGATCCATATAGATAACCCCACTCCTCAAGAAGGGCATTTTTGTTGTCATTTTTGTCATGAAGTAGTAAAGTAGGTTTTGGGGCGGAAATCCAAGCCCACCCTAACTCCCCAGGTCTATACATGAGTCATTGGGCTCACAAGCAGGGCAGAAATGGTCAACAGTCACACACTGAAGGAATCTCACTGCGGTCCACAAAAGAATGGAGCAATATCTCACGTTATTAACAAACGGAACAGTAGCCGTGCAGAATGTTCTAGCAGTTCATATGGTGGCATGTCGGTATACCGCTGACTTCCGTTATATTAGTGTGGAAACGGAAACTAGGAAAGGTGTCAGCAAGAGACCTGCAGTTTGTAATGGCTTTGGCTTTGCACAGTTTAGGTGACGCTTAAACATTTTACAGCTAAGCCCCTTGTTATAAAAACCGGGCCCTTAATTCAAACCCTAGTGTTCCTGTCTGCGTGTTGTCCCACATCTTGCCTCTAGAGGTCACTGTGCAAGTCCCTGGCAGAGAATATCAGGCTACAGTATGCTCTGTTCTCGGGTTTTTGCTAGAAATCTGGGGGTGGATCGAGAGTATTAAGTGCACCCGAGCACCACCTAGAAGGCCCCCGACTCACCATCGTGTTTTATTTTAAAAAAAAAACTAGCAATAGCCAGCATATTTCGTAAGGTAACTGTATTTCTACCTTTTCTTTTTTACAGTAATTTTTGCACACCCACTAAGTTAGCTAACAACCATTAACAGTAACAAGCGACACACTCACCCTACACACCCTACACATGACATCACATCAGAAAGAAACAGAGCTGGCCATATTAACATGCTAAGAGGCATCCGTGAATGGGCCTTTTGGTTGGGGTGGTTTCACTGCTTGGCGCCACCCCCCGCCAAAGGACGTGGCGCTCCTGGGCTTGTTCCCGAATGCCCATAAGCTCAATCCGGGCCAGCTGAGATCGAGGTGTGTTGGCAATCCCAGCAGTGTGACCACAGAGTCCTAATCACATTATTTCTGCATGTATAATTTCAAACACCCACGCTAACATTGTATTAGCACCTGTGGTGTCGTGGAAGTGAGCGATGTGCATGTGATGAAGGTGGATTTATCTGGATTTAACTGGGATTGCGAGGAGGCAAGGAGGTGGGCCGTCCCTGCATTTCTGAGAACTTTTCTTAACATGAAATGCCACAGTACATACTCAGCTGCGGAGATGGATTCAATAGCAAAACTTTTGTTTCTCCAGAACAAACGGACGACTGTGTTGCATATGGTTGAAAGATGTGCCGTGGGGGCTTCTGAATTTAATATTTGTAGGCACATTTCTCATTGCTCTTGACCAAAACCCCGGCCAGAAAAGCAAATGAACTTTATGATTAATACTGCATGTTTACGTGAGTTTGGTCGAAAGAAGAGCCAAGAAGAGGGAGGCGGTGCACATGCAATGATGCCATGTGACACATGTTTCTTTGTGATGTATTTATACATAAGTAAAGGTAATAGGCGTCTTGTAGACCGTCAGTGACTACAAGAAATTCAGGTTGTTCCTTGAGTGTCAGGCTACTTTCTTCCCAGGAGCACCTAGTACAGGAAGTGCCTCTGTAATTAGGTAAGTATCCAACATCAGTTACGGACGGCACCGCTGGGGAATTAGTAAGAGAGAAGAGGAGAGCAGAGCTTCTGTCCCGCCTAGGAGTGGGTCAGGTTACTGTCCATTTTTGTAGCAATTTGTTCCCCCATCCCACCTTATCTCCAGTATCGGTGTATGTTGTATCTGTTTTGGTAGAAACCACGGGCCAGAACATGTCAGACCCAAGCGTCTCATAGCTTCCTAACATGGTGCTGTGTCGTCTCCTTGCTGAAACTGCAATTTTCATTGTGATCACTCTTTACGCAGCCCCCCCCCCCCAGCCCCCCCTCAGTTTCCTGTTCAACTTTGGTCAGTGCAGAATTTCCCACCTCTCCTGTCCACCAATTTGCCCAAACTCTCCAATACTAGAAACCCTCTTTCTCCACTAAATTCATATAAAGTTTCTTCTTCGTCTCTATACAATGGTGAGTTATGCAGCAAATAGCTACAATTTATTGTCGGCATTTTAATGAATGATCTGATGTTTTGTAGAATATTAACTACTCTTTTTGAAAATGACACGGTGTGACCACATAGAGTGTATTAACCTGTTTATGGATTTGAATAGGTATGAGTTTGAATGCTCAGCAAATGTGTCATTTGTTATTATTCAATATTATTCTTTTCAGACAGCAAATTAATTCTATTCATTTTCAATGAAACAGATACTGTCATTTAGGCCACACTAAAACTACTAATATCCATAGGTCATAAATCACGTATCTGACACATGTACTGTATGAATAGAAGCTCAGATTACCCATGACTGATTCTGAGTTACTCCAGCCTTCCATCTCCACCTCCAACACCCTCCTTAAGTCTCGAGCTCCACCCACCTCCCTGACTGCTCACAATGTAGGCATGTTCTTCCAAAGACAGTAGCAGCCGCCAGCAGCCAGGTTTCAGTACCAATCATTCACATACAACCCCTCTCCACACGCAGTGAAATGCCCTCCCCATAGCCCCATCAGCGAAGATTTACAGTAGTCTATCCACGAATCACATATCATGACAAGATTACTGTGACTCTTCACGGACGGAGGCACCAGCTTTTGCTGTAAACCTTCTGCAGATTCAAAATTCAGCAGCATGCCTAGTGCCGAAATGTTAATATTCGACAAAACATTATAACGGCAAATTAGATCATTCTTTAAAACATTGACAATAAGTGTAACAATTTAGTGCGTTACTCAGCGTTACTCACGACAAACAAGAAACCTAACTATTAGGAATTTTGTGGAGGAAAAGTGGAGGGTTTGGGTAACTTGGTGGACAGGAGCATGTGACCTGCGGAATCCTGCCATAAGATTACAGCCCCCAGTGTCTCTCTTCACTGGCTCCCTGTAGATGCTCAAATCAAGTCGATGTTCATGGTGC